CACAACTGTGGTCCCAGCTACTCGGGATGCTGAGGCATAAGAATCTCTTGAATCCGGGAGGCAGATGTTGCAGTGAGCCAAGATTGCACCACTGTACTCTAGCCTAGGTGACAGAACAAGACTGTCTCAAAAAAAAAAAAAAAAAAAGCACAATAACCCTAAAGAGTAAGCATTAACATTTGGTAGATAAACTGAAGCCCAGAGAGGTTGTGTCATTTGCCCACGGTCACATAGCTATGAAGGGAATGAGTTTTTGAATCCAGACTTTTAGAGTCCCTTGCCCTGAACCACAGGGTGGTAGCTGCCTGCTAAGGTCAGGAGCGATGGGTGCCAAGACTTCCAGCCTGCAGAGCTTTGCACGTCATCTTAAGTGGTTCGGACTCAGCAGTGGAGGCCATGTGCAGTTTCAGCAGGGGTGCTAACCTCGCCTCTTCACCGCAGTACCGCCAGCACACAGTAGGTGCTCAGCAACTGGTGTTGAATGAACGTTGGGTGAGTGATAGAACACTTTGGTACTGAAGGTGAGAATGCATCGAGGTGAGGGAGTCTGATCACAAGGATGCAGTTTGGAGAGGTGAGGGGAGCCCAGTGGGTTCACTTTAGACAGGTTGGGTGGTGCATGCTTATACGTTTTATGCTGAGATGTTTGAGGAGTGCTTGGAATTCTGGATTAAGGCTCAGCATTGGCAGCTGGGGGGATTCCCTGCTGCTATCCCAACCCCAGCTGTGGTCACCATGAGATGAGCTGGAAGGCCCCAAGGTCCTCAGCACTGGCCCCTGCACAGGCTGGAGAGGACGACAGGGGATGGGGCTTGGTAAGGAGCCTGAGAGCCCAGTTTCTGGGGTGCCTGCACCCAGCCCAGCACCTGCTTGTTAAAACTCTGATGCCTTGGGTGATGGGGGAGAGGGGATTTGTTTAGGGGTCAGAAGCAGTACATTTACAGCCGGTTGTGTCTCTATTTCTCCTTCCCCAAGAAAGGCTGTTACCCATCAGAGATCTTGCTGGAGGAGAGGGGGCAATGGGCACTGCCATAGCCATGCTGTCAGCATGACTGACAGTGGGTAGTCCCATGGGCCTCTGTGGCCAGCTCCGCAGGCCCCCTCCTGACCCCAACCCCCTTTCTATGGCTGAACCTCTGCTCCCAACAGCCCCTCCTGCTTCTTGGTTTCTTTTTTCTTTCTTTCTTTCTTTTTTGGAGGGGAATGGAGTCTTGCTCTGTTGCCCAGGCTGGAGGGCAGTGACACGATCTCAGATCACTGCAGCCTCCACCTCCCGAGTTCAAGCAATTCTTGTGCTCAGCCTCCCGAGTAGCTGAGATTAGAGGCGCTGGCTACCATGCCTGGCTAATTTTTGTATTTTTAGTAGAGACAGCGTTTCATTATATTGGCCAGGTTAGTCTCGAACTCCTGACCTCAAGTGATCTGCCCGCCTCAGCCTCCCAAAGTGCTGTGATTACAGGTGTGAGCCATCATGCCCAGCCCCTGCTTCTTGGTTTCTGACAGGCAGAAGGCCTCTCCATGTTGACACCCCAGATTGGAAGCGGCCCAGAAAGTTTGCACGGTGGAGCTAAAATTCCTCTCCACGCCCCTTGGCAGGCTTTGGAGTATCTCACTGCCAATTGCTTAGCCCCTTGGAGGGTGGCCGTGGGTCTAATGGCATTCATTGACAGCTGTGCACGTGATGTGTACATGGGCCTCCCACCGTGGGAGCACCAGGCAGGAGGCCAGTCGTCACCCATCTGTGGGAGAGAGGTAGTCACATGTACTGGCCAAGGCTGTCCTGGGCCCAAGCAAGCTGCATTTTATGAAGGGGGAAAGGGACATTGGGTCCTAGCTGCCATTTTAATTTGAAAACTGGGGTCCTCTGTATGAAAAGGGGCATTTGGGGCCAGCTCTCTTACCAGTGGTATGTGGGGCCCACAGGACAAAGGGACAGACTGGCCATGTTGGTTGCTCAGGCAGTAGAAGGTACTCGACCCTGCCTGCAGCAGAGAGGGACTCAGGTCAGGACTGAAACTGCCCTCCCATTGCCTGGTATGCTCTGCGCACACCACACCAGGTCCTCCCGTCTCTCCCACTCACCCTGGGACTGTTTTCGCCATCCTAGCAAGTGCACAGACCAAAGGCATGCAGGTCAAAGGGGCATGCAGGCCAGCCCTGCCTAATTAGAGCAGACAGGCTTCCCAGTCCAGACGTGTGAGTGACGGCCAAAATCCAGGCGCACTCAGACACCCGCCCAGCTGGTGTCACTCTGTCTGTCCTTGCGTAATCCCCTGCCTGCCTCTGTCTGTCCCCGTCAGCCCTCCTGGTTCTCTTGATAGTGCCCAGACTCTCTTTTTGGCTGCGAATTCCCAGGCGTTGTCATTAACCCACGTTTGCCTCGGAACAACTTGTGTTGGTTGGCACCATAAGGAGAACACGCACAACATCCCCCGCCCCACGTGGGGCTGCCAGCGTGGCCTCTGTGCTCACCCACGTCAGGGGTGAGGGGTGGTGACTCCCCATCCCCCCACCACCTCTTGGTTGTAGGAAAGTGGCCTTTGTGGCTGGCTGATCCACATATCACGCCTGTTTGCAGCATGCCAGACTGTACAGCAAGGCCCTGTCACACAGCCAACCTGCCTTCATTCCCTTTACGGAAACCACTCCACGAGGGGCAGGAGGACAAGGGCTGTCCTTGGCCGAGCAGGGGGTGGCCCATGACATTGGAGGAAAGCCCTGATTCCCCCGTGGTGCCTCCGCCCCCTGCATGGCAGTCCAGCCCCCAGGAGGAGCGAGGGCTAGGAGGGGTGGGGCGGGCAGCAGGCGGCACCATCTGTGGCCGTCCTTTGTGCTGGCAGTGGAGCGATCCCTCCTTCGCTGCGATCCAGCGGGCCTCGTGCTTGGCGTGCAAATGAGTTTCCAGATGCCCAGTGTCCCCGCACAAGAGGCGGTACCTAGGGGCCTGGGAGAAGGATGGAGTGGGCTGGAGGCTCGTTTTTGTCTGTCCTGGCCTCCCTGAATAGGCTGCCTCTCCAGCTGCAGCAGATGTGTGCTGGACACCCACATAGGGGTGTTTGTTGGTTTCTGGGCAGACACACATGCTGGGGAGAGTGTCTCTTCTCTCATACTGCCCTCCTTTGAGGGTGGTGGCAAGGTGACCCCACAGAGGGGGGCAGGATACATCTTTTAAGACTTAGCTCATCCACCAGGCCCCCTCCTGGAGGGAGAAACAGGGGCCCTCTTGGGGACCACAGCCCCTGCTTGCCTTCTTGGTTGGGCATCTTTGTGTACCACACAAGCCGAGCAGATGGAGCAAGCGGCCCTGGTGACTTTTCAGGGCTTTGGGCTGACGGGAACCCTGTCCAGGATCTGGGCGGCTTGGGATGGCAGCCTGCCCAGCCATTCCCAGTCATTGTGCATATGGGCGTCTTCCACCAGTGCCTGCCGAACATGGTGGCGTAGAAGAGGCCTGAGGGGTTCCTTGAGTCTGAGGGGCTGGGGGGCTGTGAACACCTAGGATTTTGCCTTCTGAAGGCTTTCACCTCCTCCCCACCTTCTGGTCTGGTCTCAGGCTCTGCCACCAGGGTGTGGGGCTAGGGGCAGGAGCACTGTCTCTGTCCCTGATGACTCTGGCTGTGGTTACTGTGAGTAGCTTTGCCTGACTGGGCCCCCGTCTACTCGTGTGTAGAATGAGGATAATAATAGCTAATGATGTTCTAGATGGTCGAGAAAAAAAAGGATGCAGAAGCACATTGTGCAGCGTCCAGATGGGAGACCCTTGAGATGTGGAGTCGGCTTTGCACCCAGCCGAGTGGCTGAGCAGTTGTGATTCAAAAGATGCCTGGTCACTCTTGCCCATCGACTACTTCCGTAACGCTCAGGTCACTCCCAGCAGGAGTAGGGCATCAGCTGAGGTGTGGCCACCCTTTGTCCAGCAGTTCCACAGACCCAGCAGGCCCCCATCTGTCCCTCCCTGCAGCCTGGGAGGAAGGCAGGGCACGAGGCATTACTCCTTTTTACCTCTAAGCAAACTGAGGCCCAGAGTCTGTGGGCTCCTGGAGTCCACACCACAGCAAGATGGTGACTGAGCGCAGCCAGTTCCCCCAGCCCTCAGCTTTGTCATGTACTTCAGGAGGACAGGCCAGCTGAAACACGCTGGACAGCCCAGGCTGAGACATGCTGGCCTAGGGGGCGCTTTTAGCTCCTGTGGTCACATGGGGACAGTGAACAGTGAAAGAAAATGGCAGTTTTCCCCAGTCCCCAGTTCATGTGGGGCTCTCCCATCCCGGATGTGGATGGCTGCTCCATTCTCCTGCCTTGGGCACCCCTGGCTGCCTCCTGCTTGGCCCCCCACCACCCCGGCTACCCTCTGCTCTGGACATCCTTTGTCTTCCTAGGTGTTTGTGTCCGGTAGCACAGGGACCAACCGTGGGTGTGACCAGAAGGGGTGTCCTAGGGGGCCAGTTTCTGGGCAGGACTTTCAGGGACAGCTCTGCAGACACTCCTAGGTTATCAGCAGATTCCAAGATTTTGTTCAAACCTTGTGATTTTTGAGCCCACACATGGGGAGAAGCCACACTTTGCCTCTGATCAAATTGTGAGGGGGTGGGCTTCCCTGAGGGATCTGGGGTGGCAGGCAGCTGCTAAGCTTGTGCTGTCTCAAGGTCCATGTCAGGCCCCCTCACTCCTCCAGTTTCCTCTTGGCACCATCTCTGCCATCCTTCCCATCATTCTGACTCTCCCCGTCTTTGCTGCCTCGGACCACTACTTCCCGGACGTGGGCCATTCTGACCTTCTCTTCACGACAGAAGCTTTTGTATTCTCCTTCAAGGGTGTCAGTCCCATTTTACAGTTGAGACCACTGAGGCCTCCCAAGAAGGCTAAGTCTTCTGGTGTCACACGAATCTGGGAGCAAAACCAGCATGGATAGCACCCAGTCTGGGGAGGGTTGGGGAGGGGTCTCGGTGTGGCAGGGCGTGATGAACAAGCAGCCACTGACCATCCTGTCCTTCCTGCAGCCCTGTTGTCCTCCTGGTGCGAAGAGCTCGGCCGCCTGCTGCTGCTCCGACATCAGAAGAGCCGCCAGAGTGATCCCCCTGGGAAACTCCCCATGCAGCCCCCCCTCAGCTCCATGAGCTCCATGAAACCCACTCTGTCACACAGGTAAGTGAGTGGGTGCCATGGGGGCAGGCGCTGAGCAGACACTCCTCTGGTCTCAGATCTCCTTGGACGTGTCCCTGGGGTGGGGGCCTCTGTGCAGCCTTGAAAATGTTGCATTTTCTAAGGTGCAGTTGTTTTTTCACATCTTCATGGGTGAGCCCTGTTTCTCCCTCTCAAACACGTTGAGAGCACTGAGTTTGTCACTTTGGTGAAGGCTGTTTTTCTTCTGGTTCTAGGCTTCCGGCAGAAGGTTAGAAATTCTGAGCTCAGCACCTTCCCTCTTTCTTGACCAGGGTGTTGGGCAACCCCAGAGAAACCAGGAGCTGGCAGGGGTCTCAGGAAGGCCACGGGGCTGGTGATTCCAGCCAAGATGGGGACAGAGCCAGCCCAGGCCAGCCACCCTGAAGCCAGGACTGGGCTGGGTCCACCAGAAGCCCAGGGTCACAGGCAGGCATGGGTTTGCTGGAGGCTGACAGCACCAAGGGATTGTCCAGTCTACCTGTGCCAGCCTCAGAAGGAGACGTGGCTAGGACTGGCGATTCCCCCAGTTAATTATCTTTCGAGTCCCTTGCTGAGCTGGGGATGCTCTCTGAGCGCTCTGCAGGCTGACCCTGCAATAACAGGGCCTGTCATGCTGTCTCCTCTCCCCTGTGTGTGTCCCCGCTAATGATCAGGAGGGGCATTTGCAGTCAGAGCTCGGCTCTCATTATCCAGCCTGACTGAGGGACCTGCAGCCCAGAGCACACTGCAGGCAGACCTGGGTCGCACCATCGAGGCGCTGCTGGGAGCTTGGGTGTCAGCCACGCTTTATAAATCGAATTAGAGGCTTGTTGACTTTTGGAGCTGGAAAGGACCTTAGCGCTCATCACGTCCAGTGCCCTCCCTGGGCCTGATTGCCCCTGACATGTGGTTGCCTGCCTTGGTCATAAGCCCTTTGTACCATAGCAAGCCCGCCACCACCCAAGGGCACTGCCTCCTCAGACCCTGGGTCTGGCTGCTGAGCAGCTCCAAGCTTCTCTTCTGTAGCAGTGTTCCTTAGTGCATTTACACAGGGTAATTTTTCTTTTATTATTATTTTTTTTTTTTTTTTTTAGACAAGATCTGGTTCTGTCGCCCAGGCTATAGTGCAGCCACGCAATCCCGGCTCACTGCAACCTCCGCCCCCAGGCTCAAGTGATCCTCCTACCTCAGCCTTCCAAGTAGCTGGGACCCCAGCCATTCACCACCACCCATGGCTAATTTTTTGTATTTTTAGTAGAGACGGCATTGCCCAGGCTGGTCTCCAACTTCTAAGCTCAAGCAGTCTGCCTGCCTCAGCCTCCCAAAGTGCTGGGATTATAGGCATGAGCTACCATGGCGGCCTGTTATTATTTTTAAAAGACAGGGTCTCACCCTGTTGGACAGGCTGGAATGCAGTGGCACTATCATAGCTCACTGCAGCTTCGACCTCCTTGGCTCAAGTGATCTCCCCACCTCAGTATCCTGAGTAGCTGGAAGCATAGCCACGCGCCACTACACCTGGCTATTTCTTTTTAGTTTTGTGGAGATAGGGTCTTGCTATGTTGCCCAAGCTGGTTTCGAACTCCTGGGCTCAAACATTCCTACCACCTTGGCCTCCCAGCGTGCTGTGATTACAGGCATGCACCACTGCACCTGTCTGACACAGGGTAATTTTTCAGCGTGCAAGACTTTGCAGGGCATTTAGTATCTTGGTCCCTACCCGCTCTGTTCTTTTTTTTTTTTTTAATGCCCATCCTTGGTTAATCCCACTCCATTCTTCTGATGACTGTCTCTTCCCCTAAGCATTATCACAACAAAAGTACCCTCCCACATTTGAGGGGAGTCTTACCTTTGGTTAAGGACCGCTGCTCAAAACCTGCCTCCATCTCCCTCTGTGTACCCTTTGCTAAAAGCCACAGTTTGTCTTCATCTGAAGCAAGCCCCTGAGTACAGGCTGCAGCCGCATTTCACTTAAGCAGCATATCTCGCAGTTGCCCTCGGGAAGCTTTACCTTATTAATTCTAGCCCAGCTGTCCATCCCTCCAGAATTATCCTCCTCTCATCATCCCACGTGTCATGACCTTCCCAAGCTTGTCTCCTCCAAGTTATTTTAGTAAAGTTGTTGCTGATGGAGGGCCAGAACCCTGCAGCTCCCCACTAGGGACCAGCCTCAGACCTGCTTGACCGTGATTGTTTAGGTCACAGAGTGCCACAAATCTGGATCTCGGCCAGCCCTTTGCCAGCTGAGTTGAGCTAAGGAATGAGGTTGTTCAGTCCCGGGGTTAAACAGAGATGAGGTATTTCTGTGCTCGAGGAGCAGCCTCAAGCTAGTTGGGGAAATAAGACTCATTGGGGCCACATTGGGATCTGGCAGAGCAGGGCAGGGCTAGAGTTCATTGATAGGCAGACTGGGCTTTGGGGTTCAGATGGAGGAAGATGGACAGGGCTGACTGTCAGGAGGCTGCCCAGAGGATGGGAGTCTTGACCTTGAAGGACTTGGGCTGGGAGGGGTAGGTGCATATTATGAATTCAAGCTGGCTTTCCCAAGAAATGGTATGGGCCAAAGTGCCACTGGCCAGCACCCAGTGCCCTGCTACCTCCACCATCATGGCCTCAGCTCTTTGTAAGTCTAACAGAAGGACCAAGATTGCAAAGCCAGTGGTCTAAGAGCTTGAAGACCAGGCTGGCACTTACTCTTTGGGCCTTAAGTGGTCTGTGGGAGAAAGGAAAGCCGTGTGGGCTGGAAGACTCATTGAGTACTGGTGGCTAACCAGTCAGTTCCGTGGAGCGTGGCTTCCTCGTGGGAGCCCAGGGAGGTGAGGGGCCTGCTAAACAATATCCTACACTTTGAATGGCAGAACTGGAGGGAAATCTGGGCCCAGAGTGGGAAAGTGACTTGCCCCAGAACACACAGCCAGTAAAGGGCAGAGGAAGACATTAAACAGTGCACAGGGCTCTGCTGTTTAACTAGTCCTTCAGGATCAACGAGGTGGTATCTAGTTGTTAACCTGATTTGGAGGGTCTTTTTGGAAGAGGGTCATCGGTTCTGATCCACAGCTCACCTGTTTCCCATCATATAGCCCGTCTTCCTTCTCCAAGCCCCAGGCTATTCCGAGGACACGTTGTGGTTGGGCAATTGAAAGTTACACAGTCTCTCCTTGCAACCTTTATGAATTTCACAAAGGATAAATCCCTCATTTCCAGGGAAACTGCAGTGGGGTCCATCACCTTGTAAGTCCTCAATGCAATTTCCCAAACAAGAAGGAAAGAAAATGGAAAAGAAAACTGAGCGCTTTCACAATTAGCAAACTGTTTTAGTCCGTCATCCTCCATAATTTTATTGAATGACTTGGAGGCAGGAAGCTCCTTTTGCCTTTTCATTAAGGAGACATTGAACCGGAGGCGAGCTTGGGTGCACTGGGACGGTTGAGATTCAATGCCCGCAGGTATCTGGCTGTTTGAAGGCTCTGGGTCCTTGTCTGAAGGCTCTGAGGACACACAAATGGGAGAGGATGAGGGAGCCTGGAGCCTGGGTACTTGCAGTCCCGCCCTGCCTCAAGGGACGGTAGATGCCTAGAGGGTCCCTGGTGACTATCATATTTGGAGAGCTCGGGTGTCACAATCGTGTCTGCTGCAGGCTGCAGAGCTTTGGTACTACGGCATGAGGCTATGAGTCAGGGCCTGCGTTCTTCCACACAGATGCTGTGCCTCCCAGCAAGACCCTTGACCTCTTGGCCTCGTGGTTCCCTGCTGGTGGGGGACATGGTGCCGCATGAGCAGGATGTCAGGAAAGGGTCAGGCTGCCGTAGCCCCGCAGCCATTTCTGAGGGTAAGGGTGGTGACGAGGAATACTAATTATCCTCAGTCTGTGGACGTCTATAGGCTCACTCCGTTTTGTCCTCATCACTGGCTGCAGTGGGGCTGCCGTCTATATTCACAGATGTCCAGGATACTATACAAGAGAAGGCGGCCACAAGGTCCAGGACCAGCGCCTGGGCAAGTAGGACACCTTCCAAGTCCCTGCAGTGACCTGGACTTGAAGCCAATGAAGTCTTTCTGCCTCCTTCTTCCAGATTTTTAATGAGTGGTTAAAAAAGCCATTTGTGATTAGCACATTGTCCTTATGCAAATCAGTGTTGCAAAGGTAATTAAGGGCCTAATAAATCTTGTTTATGCTGTTAATTTGATTACAATCAAAACTCGCTAGGGCTGGGGAAGCCTCCAAGATCCAGAGGTGCAGGTGCCATCCTCCTTCTTCTAGGTACGGGATTTACGAACCCCAATGGAGAGGCTTCTGGGCGGGAGGCCCCCTGGCATCCCCTGGGTATAGCAGATGGGGGAACAGGCCCTGGAGTCAGGCTGCCGGGCCTTGAGTTTCAACTGGGCCATATTCTAGCTGGGTAACTGGCCAGTTACTTACCCTCCTGGTGCCTCGGTTTCCTCCTCTGTAGAAGGGGAGTAATAGTGGCAGGAGTCTGGCACACTGGTAGCCCATGGACCGGTCCTAATTCCCCTGATCCTCAGCTGGGTGCCATCAGACTCTTAGGTGCTTATTCATGGCCAAACACGAAAGAAGGTGTCAGTCAAAACCAGCCACGTCACACCATCTCCACAGCTGTCATTTTTAGCTCGTTTTTGCATAGCTTCACCAAAGCTCAGTTTATGTTAGGCCCTTCTTGCCCCAAGAACGTTTTACAAACAAAAAACAAGGAAAGGGGAGAATCGAAAGACCCATAAATCCCTGCACCGTCAGTTCCAGATGGCCAAGATGCAAGGGATTTTTTCCTTTCTTCCTTCCTACTGAAAAATTTTAACACCATCTAATACGCAGTTAGCTGCGCAAGTTCCTCTCTAAGTTTCACCGCAGGGAGGGAAGGAAGTAGGCCCCAGTAATTGTGATGATGGAGAGCACTGTTAATGGTTCCCCTAAATTAAAGAGGGTGGGAGCTTCAGCTCCTCACTGGCTTGGCATTTCATTAGCAGTAACACCACAGCCTTGCATG